CTAGTAAGGAATGAAGAGGTTAGGAGGAAAGAGATGCAAGTTGACACTCAAACACAACCAGCCGAACAGCCTGTTGAACATTCAGCCCTRATTTCTTCAAACCAAAAGGGGAGCAAGCATTCAGACAARAGRYATCTTAARTGYWCTCAYTGTGGHRGTGAAAGGCATGTAAAAGAGACTTGTTGGGTTCTTTATCCTCATCTGAAACCAGCTGCGTTAAGGAAAGGCAAGAAGCCCCAGAAAAATCAAACAGCAAGCGGGAATCATGTTACTAGTCACAGTGGTGATAGCTCGAAGAACACATCTACAGTTGCATCTTCTCCCATGGGACAGACTGCTAATTCCTTCACATCCGGATCCTTGGAATTCACTGCTGATGAGATAGAGGTCCTTAGCCGGGCCTTAACCCGTCTAAGGACTAATTCCCTTGCTTCCACCTCTCTTGCCAGATCAGGTATTGTCTCTGCTTATAATACAACTAGTTCTATAGACTCTACTTCTTGGATTATTAATTCCGGTGCAACTGACCACATGACACACATGTCCTCTTTATTTTCTTCTTACCAATTGATGTCTGGCCAAGATAAGATGAGAGTTGCTAACGGTTCCCTTTCCACCATCTTTGGGAAAGGGGGAATTGACCTAAGCAATAACCTCTCTCTTAAGTATGTTCTACATGTTCCCAATCTTACTTCCAATCTCTTATCTGTTTCGAAGCTTACCAAGAATTTAAACTGTAGCATAACTTTCTTTCCTACTCATTGTGTCTTTCAGGACAGATTGACGAAGAGAACGATTGGGAGCGGTCATGAGTGTGAAGGCCTCTACTATTTTGATGCAGACATAAATTCGTCCTTACAATCATCTGCTATCAGTAGTCAGAATAACGAGGAGTCAATAGCTAGGTTACACTTGTGGCATGCTAGACTAGGTCATTTACCTTTTTCATCATTGCAAGGGTTGTTTCCTGAATTATTCAAGGGTATTTCAAGTCAAAGTTTAGTTTGTGAAGTGTGTCAGTTGTCAAAACAATGTAGAACTCTTTATCCAATTTCTAGTAATGAAATTCAAGCTCATTTTGATTTGGTCCATTCTGTCTCCCCTTGTTTCTGTGGATGGTTTTCGTTACTTTATCAGTTTTATTGATCACTACTCACGATGCACATGAATCTACTTGTTAAAAGGACGTGATGAAGTGCCACGGATAACCATGGCATTTTGTAAAATGATTGAAACTCAATTTGACAAGAAGGTTAAGCAATTCCGTTCAGACAATGCTGCAGAATATTTTGAAAGATCCTTGAACCTATTCATGGAGGATGCTGGCATGATACATCAGTCATCTTGTGCTAGTACCCCTCAAYAGAATGGGGTTGCTGAGCGCAAAAATAGACACTTATTGGAGACCGCTCGAGCTTTATTATTTCAGCACAAGGTTCCCAAGCACTACTGGTCTCAAGCCGTCCTTACCGCATCATATCTGATAAATCGGATGCCATCCAAGGTGTTGGGTATGAAAACTCCTTTCTCTGTCCTCTGCCCTAATCTTCCAGATTTTCCTCTTCCACCTAGAGTCTTTGGTTGTGTGTGTTTTGTACATGTAAAGGATCCAAAGAAGACCAAGTTGGATCCTAGGGCTACGAAAGGGATCTTTCTAGGGTACTCTCCTACACAGAAAGGTTACAACTGTTATGATCTTGTCACCAAGAAGAAATATGTCACCAAAGATGTGGTATTTTTTTAGTCTCACTCCTATTTTCATTCCTCCCAGAATCCTCTTCAGGGGGAGACTAGTGGGATGGAAGAGGATTCTTCTTCCCCCTCCTTTTTTGTGCCTCTTTCTGCCTCGGGCCCTCCATCTTCTCCTCCTGATCCTCCTAGTTGTAGCATCCCGGATGAACCTAGTGAGGCTCCCATTGCACCTGTTACCACTCTTGATGCTGCAGATGTTACTGAGGACACCAATAAGCAACAGAGAGATATTAGAATCACCTACAACAGAAGGAAAAAAGACCCTCTAACTCATGGCAACAATCAATCAGACTCGGATCAATCTGCCTCAGCAACTCCAGGTAATCCTATCACTCATACTTCTGATTTGGATCTCCCCATTGCTCTTCGTAAATCTACCCGTTCTTGTACTATCCGACACCCCATTGCTGAATTTGTTTCTTACKCACGTTTATCTCCTCGTTATTATTCCTTTGTGTCTACTCTCTCCTCTGTGCATGTTCCTACTAGGTACTCAAAGGCAGTGTCTGATCCAAGATGGAAAGAGGCTATGAATGAAGAAATGAAAGCCTTAATGAAAGCAAGGACTTGAGAATTAGTGGATCTACCAGAAGGGAAGAGCACTATGGGATGCAAGTGGATGTTCACTGTAAAGCATAGGGAGGACGGGTCCATTGAAAGATACAAGGACAGACTTGTGGCAAAGGGGTTTACTCAAAAGGAAGGGATTGACTACAAAGAGACCTTTGCTCCAGTCGCAAAGCTCAACACAATCTGGGTCTTATTGTCATTAGCTGCAAATTTCTCATGGGAGCTAAAATGCTTTTCCAAATGGTGATCTACGTGAAGAGGTGTTTATGGATCCTCCACCAGGTTATGGCTCTGATGAGAAAGTATGTAAACTGAGGAAAGCATTATATGGCCTTAAATAGTCTCCTCGGGCTTGGTTTGAGAGACTTTGTGGGACCATGAAGAGAGTGGGATACACTCAAAGTGGTGCAGATCATACTTTGTTCATAAGGAAACAGAATACCGACTTACGGTACTAATCGTCTATGTGGATGATATGGTGATTACAGGGGATGATCTGGAAGAGATAAAAAGATTAAAGGAGTTCTTGGCTTYTGARTTTGAVATYAAAGACTTGGGCCATCTGAGATACTTCCTTGGAATTGAAGTTGCTAGGTCACAAGAGGGCATCTATATATGTCAGCGGAAGTATGTCCTTGACCTTCTAGGAGAGACAGGTATGATGGGGTGTAGACTAGCAGATACTCCAATAGAACAGAACCATGGTCTACAGGAAYCTGTTGGAGAGGACTACCTTGATAGAGAAAGATACCAAAAACTGGTAGGGAAGTTGATATATTTGTCTCTCACTCGACCAGATATTGCTTATGTTGTACATGTTGTTAGCCAGTTCATGCACTCTCCAAAGATTCCTCATAAGAGAGCAGTGGAAAGAATTCTTAGGTACTTGAAGACTTGCCCAGGAAAAGGAATTATGTTCAAAAAACACAATAAAATTGAAATTGAAGCATATACTGATGCAGATTGGGTTGGCTCTGTTGGAGACAGGAAGTCTACTTCTGGGTATTGCATGTTTGTTGGAGGAAATCTGGTTACATGGCGAAGTAAAAAGCAGAATGTGGTTGTTAGATCAAGTGCAGAGGCTGAATATCGAGCTATGGCTCATGGTGTTGCTAAACTGTTGTGGCTTAGGACCCTTCTTGGTGAGCTCAGGATAAAGGTCGAGTGTCCTCTCAGGCTATACTGTGACAACAAGGCTACCATCAACATTGCAAATAACCCAATGCAACATGATAGGACGAAGCACATTGAGATTGACCGACACTTCGTTAGAGAGAGAATTGTCTCAGGAGAACTCTGCATTCCTTATACTCCTTCCGAGATGCAAATTGCAGATGTATTAACTAAAGGACTAGCTTCAACGAAGTTCTCAGACTTACTTGGCAAGCTAAACATGACTGACATCCATGCTTAGCTTGAGAGGGAGTGTTGGTTCGGCTGTTTTTTAGTGTTTATGTTAGTCATATTTGTGTCTTAAGTTCTTACTTATTGGGCCTTAGTTATTGGGCCTAAACTTGTTTAATGTTTTATTTGATTTATTTGTCTAGGTGTCCCACCACTAATCAGGGGCATTCTAATCCAGTCATGTAATATTATTTTATAATCATCTATATAAGATTGTAGGGCCGATTGAAGAGTTTATGCCGCCTTCCTAAAATCTTCTTCTCTTCTTCTTCTTCTTCTTCGTCTGCTGTATTCCAGCAAACATTTAACATATAGAGGTAAAGGATCTCTATAATCTCAGTTTCTTCTGTTATACATCTTGTAAGGTTTTCAGTTTGAGCTATAGGAGTTATAAGTCATTAAGCAAATAATTTGTACAACTTTCCAAGTTTATATATGTAGCAAGCACTTGGAAGTCTAGTTTCTAGGACAATTTAAAATCTTAGTCCCATAAATGGGTAAGAGATATGAAAGCTTGAAAATAGAACTTTCCTCCATTTAGAAGTTAAAGAGGCTGATATATCAAAGGATCATGATTTCAATTTTTAGTATGATGGAACCATGGAAACATAAAATTGAGCTAACCTGTGTGCCAAGGGATTTCAGTAAATTTCCACGTTCTTTTTCCATTTGAGAACGAGCCCGTGCACAACCCAATGCAGCCTTTGATAATGTACTGCCACTGGTACAAGTATTTTCAACACCATATTTCCTGCTATCTTCTGACAACTTTGTACCTGTTGAAACGTTTTAAGTTTATGTACAACACAACATTGATAAATGAAAATGGATAAACAATAAATTGACATCAAAACTTCATTCTAACCTATTTCAACTTGTTTGGATCCAGTGACAATATAACCTTCTACACCACGAACAATATCCCTTTGGAAATGCTGATAAAAAGAAAAGAGGAAGTTATAGGTTGACAAAGAAAAAGATGAAATCATACAGCCATGTATGGGTGGACAACCTTCCCTGCACGAGTTGATATGTAAAGCTTCTCAAGCTTTTGATGCTGCTGCAGTTCTGCCTCATCAGTAACTACACTATCTGAACCTCCATATCCCCCACCACCAAACTGCTTGAAGACAGCCTGGAGCAGAATTCAACAGAAGAAATATACATAATTTCAGCAAGGCCAAAAGAAATCTGAATTTAAAACTTAATGTCAGAACCAAAGAATGGACATCCCATCTGAAAGGTGTGTGTTTTCCTCCGGTAGATGGAGCAGAAGAGCACAGGTTCCTAGAAATTGAAGTGTAAAGGATAGGTAAACTGCATTGTCAACTGCCAACAACCCAATTGAACTGGACTCTTTATCTTTAAGTCATAAGTAGCATTTTTCATTTGCAAAATGCAAGGAATCAACTTCAATTTTTAGTCTCCGTTTTCCCTTCTAAGATTGAAGTAGGAAAGGGGTATAACTAACACCCAACCCTCCCCAAGCCAACAGAATAAAAATTGTCTGACATTATGCTGACCAATGTTCAGAATTGACATTTTTTTAGTATTCAAAAAAGTTATAGTGATTGCAAGGAACTGGAAGCATGGTTTTTTGTCCTAAGCAAGAAATATGACACATAGATGATTAAATTTGCAAAGTTGGTTTATAATTCATATAGGATTCAGTGAACATATTATGGTATGAAGAGTGTTCATTAGGTAATATACAACCAGCATGTAGTTTGACTTGCCACCATGTAGTTTAGCCCATGCACACAAAAGATGTGCAAACTCTCAGTTTCTGCATTTATATAGAAGGTATTAACTCACATTTAGTCATTCAATTCAGAACCCATAGCACACATTCTGGTCTCATGTTCTCAAAACAATGGCCTAAGGTGTGCTTATGATGGGGTAGAATACATGGAAAGGGTTGTCAAGTTGAAATTACTGTTCTTCTTTAACCGTTGCTGAATCAGTGTGCATGACACAGGATTTGGGCAAATGTTGGCACAAAACCGAACCTTCCTATTTTACAAAAGCTGGTTTAACAATGCACCCGTGTAATCCTTAAATGCAGAAGAACAAGGAGGCCAAAATGAGTTCTTAGTTAACATAACCACGTTGCTTTAATCATGTGGATGGAGCCAAATCACGTTTATCCACTGCTCCATTTTGTACATTTTTCAACCTATTACAACTTAAATACCCAAAATGCGATTAGACTAACCTACGAGTGCAGTCACATTTTTTCTCCTGTTTTCTGCTCACATGCCAGAAATAAGAAACATGCTTTAGTTTTTCAAACGCAACCTTCGCATACAATTGATTCAACATATCAACTAGTTCCGATATTTACAGATAAATACCATAAACTATCTAAATCAATGGGCAAAGTCACCACCCTCATCCCCTTCAATCAAACTCAGAACATATAAGAAGAGGAAAAGAACAAGTCGCATTATATGGTCAATACAACTCGATAACAAGAACGAAATAATCACAAGCCTTTAAACATCGAATCAATACCGTTGATCAGACAATCTCTAGCCCTACATAAAAGAAGCGCCACATAATTTATCTGATCAACCCCCACTAATAACCAGGCACAAGGGATCGATTCGATAAGATAGAAACATGGAGGGCAGAAAAGAAAACAGATTAGGAATATTCTGCAGAGAAATCTCGAGGAATATGCAAATCTCTCTTAGATCCTTAAGAATGAAAACTACGCGCCATAAAAACTGAAACTTCTCGAAGAATGAAATTAGGGTTTCGCACCTGTTGTTGCTTGGCGACCTGTTCCCTAAGCCTGGTGGCCTGTTTCCTGATTGCGTCCATCCACGAATGGCTTGAGAGTCTCGAGTTTCGGTATCAGACAGAGAGAGAGAGATCTATGGGAATGTGTTTGGATGTATAAAGTGAAAAAATAAAAAGGGGGGGGGGAGGGTTTTGAATTGAAATGGAAATTCCTTTAAAGAGCAAACAAATTGAAATGGAAGTTGGAGGAAGGCAGCTGCTTGCTTCACTTCTGGTTGTCTAAACGTTACATACACCAACAGAATCACAAAAAATGAGAAGAAATCGATCACATCAAAAGAGCTGCCTTGTTTGCTTTCATGTTCCTCTTCCTCGTTTTCAAAATCACTGGCTATGATTGCAATGGGTCCATTCCCCTGTCCTTTTACAGATTATCACCCTTTTTCTTTCTCCTAATGCCAGCCAACTCCCCTTTGTTTTTTTCTTTTATACGGTTATACCTAACATTTTATATAATTATGTTTTATTTTATTTTATTTTTTTTTGTGAAAAAGAGAGACTCGGGCTACACAAGCCTGGCCCTGCCCTGGCCCTGGGATAGCCCTTCCCCAATAATCAGTTAATCATTTAGGTGTTTGGCACGATAGTGTTTCGTTTTCCAGATTTACTTATAGGATCCAAACGGATTGGATCAGATTCGAATAAGGATATATTCGACACTGCTCATGTCGGATCTGATATGACTCGATTTGAATTTGAATCCTATTGGTAAGTTGGACCTTCGGATCTGATCTGATTTGATCGGACTTGTTTTCTTTAAAAATTAATGAATTATTAAAATAAAAATAAAATATACTAAATTAAAAAATATAAGTATTTTTTAATAATTTTCATCATATATATACATGTTTTTTATAAAAATGAATACATAATATAACAAATTTATAAAAATATAATATAAAAAATATATTTATAAATAAATAGATAACATATATATGTATTATATATATTTATATTTATAAGTATATAATATATATCGGATCGGGTTGGGGGTGATCTGAATCTGATCCAATTTTCGATCTGATCCTAATATCCGATCTGATTCCAAGAGGGGGTGATCCGAATTTAACCAAATAGGATCGGATCTCGAATTGGATCGGGTCATGATCTTATCCATTTGCACTCCCTACTTATAAGTGTTTTGTTTCATCTATTTTTCTTAACACAAAAAAAAAAATTGTATTTGGTAGAGGTGCAAGCTGATTAAGCATTTAAAATGATTTGGCATATAATATACCTATAATAACAAGGGAAATTTCTTGATCAATACCCGGTACTTTGGCTCAAGTGACAATTTGGTCCCTGGACTTTAAAATGCAACAATCCAATACCCAAACTATCGAAACGAGACAATCTAGTACCTATCGTTAATGAACCGTCAATTATGTATATCACATGACATCATGTGCAATTTAAGACTTTTGAAAATGTCAAAATTACCCTTAGAAATAAAACACATTGTTCATCATCTTCTTCCACGAGAAGATGAAACAGGACCCAAGTTCTCTGTCACAACGACCAAAACCCTTGCAATACCCAAGCTCTCTGTCACAAACACTTGCAATGACTTTGCCTTTCTCACAAAGTTGCTTGAAGTCTTTGCTAAGAACAAAAAAAAATTCCAAGTTTTATACAACTTATTTTTATATTTTTAACTTAACACATTAATATTTTAGTCCTACAAGTAAAAGAGAGGAGAAGAAATGGAAGCTTTATCTTGATATTTGAGAGAGAGGGAGAGGAAGAGAGAGATCAGTGATGGTGGCTGAAGACTTTTATCTTTTTCCACTTTTTCATATAAGATAATTGCAGTAGTTGAAGGAAGACTTTTCTCCAAAAAATTGATTTGTTATGGTCTGAAGATGATGGAATATTTAGAGGAGAAGAAAGACAAAAGTGTTGTCGTAGGGATGAAAATTTTAGCGGTCGGTACTAGATTGTCGCGTTTCGAAAGTTCAAGTACCGAATTATTGCATTTTAAAGTTTGAGGACCAAATTGTCACCCGAGCCAAAGTATAGGGTATTGGTCGGGAATTTTCCCTAAAAACAATTCAGAAAAGAAGTCAACTTTTTCAAATTTCAATGTGCCATATCACCTCAGTGGTTCAAGATCATCAAGGTGATTCAAGGATCGTCAATTTAATGATTCAAGAAATCCCTCATTTCTTGAATCCTAGAACTAATCATTGCAAAAACTTTTTTTTCCTTTTGAAAAATAGATTGCAAAATGTGATTTTCTCCCCCAATTCCATTTAATTGCTGATGTGGCATAAATGATACATCAACAAAAACGGAATACTTGTAAAATGCTCTTATGCCAAACACCTACTTAAACAAATAATCTGAAAAGAGTCATCTAACACCGCCCTCGACAGCTCCAAACCCATATGGGCTACACTAACAACTCTATCAGCAACTTCTCAATAGGAATGAAAGTATTGAATATTCAGCCCATGTATTAAACATATTTCATGACAGTTCTCAACAAAAACTGTGAGGTTATTGGGAAGGGAGATAAATCCCTTTAAATTATCTACTACCATATTCGAATCTCCATCAATAATAATCTTTCTATCTGCAAACTTTGTAGCCAACTTGACTTTCAAGAGTTGCCTAAATTTCTTTACATTAATAGAAACTCGATTCGCGTACCCTAAAAGCGTCTACATTTAAGTGTTTGGAAGCATGGGCGCTTTTTGGAACCGATTTTCAAGAAAAAATGCCCATACTTCAATACCCGTTTTTCACAAAAAAACACTTCTGCCACGTAGGTAGTGAATAACACTATGTTGTTTGGTAAGGTGATTTTCATCACCTTTTTTTCATCTATGTGCTGACAGGTAAGCACCACATAGGATACGCATCAGTCAGCCGTGGGGGAAACGGTTCACCGATGCATGAAACGCCAAGGTGGGGTCCCAATTTTTTAGGCATGCCCGATTTTTTAATAATCGGCTGAACCAAATAATGAGATACATGGGTGTTTGTTGAAACACCTATGTGGATCTGACGTGGCACCATTTTTTTGAAAAACGGCCACAGTTCCAAACATCCCCTAAAATAAACCCGCCAACTGTACACTCTCCATTACAATTGGCATCAAATTTTATCTTGATGACTATGTTTGTTGGGAGCTTTCCAAAAAACATTGACCCAATTTGTATCTCTAAAGGAAATGAAATGCTGCTCAATTGAATTTGAATTATCCTTATATTCATTATATAGTCAGAGCTCTTTGATGAATGATAACTGGAGAGCTAAATTTCTTATTGAAGACCATACTATTTCTATATTTCCAGATGCAGCATAAAATCATTGCCATCTCATCAGAGAGAAGTTCCCATTTGAAACTTGGTCAGTATAAGAGCAAATACAATTCCACCACTCAATCATTCCAATATTCTGAACCTTTGGTCTTTCAATTTATTGCTCCATTACAATCCAAAATTGCTTAACAAGATTATAGTTGCAGAAGATATGCCCTTTTATCTAGGAATGTAAGTAGATCGGATCAGATCTGACTTAGGGTATATTTGAATCCAATCTGACATTGTTACTTGCAGATCCGATTGGATGTGATAAACATGGATCTGAATTCGAATCTGATGAGGAAGTTGGATTTTTGGATCTAATCCGATCCGTTTGGATTTAAAAATAAAAATAAAAAATCATTAAAATAAAAATAAAATATAACAATTTAAATAAAGAAAAACAAAAACTATAAGTATCTCTTTAACTATTTTCATCATATATGTACATGTTTTTATAAAAAAAAATAATATAACAGATTTACAAAAATACAATATAAATATTATATTTTATAAATAAATAAATAGCATATATACAAGTATATATATATATATATATATATATTATATAAATAAATAAATAACATTTATCGGATCGGATAGGGGTGATCCGAATTCAATCCGATGTCTAATTGGATTCTATCATCCGATTCGATCCATTCCAAAGATCCGAAATAGGCTTATCCAAATATAAGAATATAAGATCAAACTTTGGATCGGATCCATTTGCAGTCCTACCTCTATCTCTCAGAACGCTCACAATTAGGATAATTAATATCAAGATCCCTATGCTTTAGAAGTAAAGCTTATTCCATAGCAAAAGATTGAAAAAAAGTTATACTGTGGGGGTCCAATTTCGTTAAAATGAGGTGGGAGGAGAATAAGATTGAGCACTCTCCATAACCACTAGTTTAGGCAGAACATGTGGTGTAAGGTTCAAAATTTCGATACGTATCAGGCCGTATTAGCCGATATGTATCATATCAAGGCCTTCTTGATACGCCTCTATAGGAGGTGTTTCAGGCCAACGAGTAGTTGAGGGCATAGACCAGCCTTAAATTGGTCCCTCTAAACCAGATTAAAAAAATAAAAAAAGTACCAAACCAGGCCAATACGTCCTACCAAAGTATCGCCCTATATAACGTACCTGTATCAATATTTTGAACCTTGTGGTGGTGAAAACACCTTTAGGATTTAGCCTAGGAATGGCAACGGAGCGAGGTGGGGACGGGGAGCAGCCTCTCCCCATCCCCACGAGGACCCTCATCCCCGCGAAGATCTTCATTCGTGATTTTTTATAATGTTAACCATTTTGTTTTTGTTTTTTATTTATTTAAAAACATAAAAATAAAATAATTAAAATTTATGATCCTATTAGAAAATATTCAAACATATTCAACCATATTTTTAAAAATACTAATATATAGATGTATGTGTACATATATACATATATATTAGTGGGGATCCCACGGGGCGGGGATGGGGGTCCCTACGGGGTGGGGAGTGCTCTCCCCGTCCCCGACGGGGATGAAAATTTCTCCATCCCCGTCCCCGGGGGGGTGGAATTCATCCCCATCCCTACCCCCACCCCATTCGGGGTGGATCCCCACGGGGATCGGGAAAATGAGGGAAATTGCCATCCCTAAATTTTAGCCTTCAAACAATTCGATCATTCTAACCATTGAAATTACAATTGTTCTAAAATTGTCCCAAATTTGATTGAGGACCAAACCTTGACTTTTGTTCTCATATTCCACGATTTGGAGTTTTGATTAATGACACCCGCAACCAAAAAAAATTCTCATATCTTCGAGTGTCAGGGCTGACAACTTGGTTTGAAAGGCTTGTCGCCCACCCACGACCCAAACATCATGCTGAACACCCTGATTTATATTTCCAATCCTATCCCCTCCCTGATTTCAAATTTCCAATCCTATCCCCTCTTAAAATGATGCTGATTTTATATTTCTAATCCTACCCCTCCCTGATTTCATTTTTCCAATCCTATCCCCTCCTAAAACGTCTGAAATTTTATTTGTATT